GGGATTAGAAAATTACAATAACATGTAAAATGAGCCTAACAGTGTTTCGTACATCATCCTCAACAACTTATAATAGCAAAATAGCCAAGGAGGAACAGTTAGTTTATTCAACAAATGAATTCAGTCCCTATCTGTTCTAGGTACTGTTCTAGACACCGGAGCTAGCATCTCCAAGCAAATTAGACAAATATCCCTATCTTCATGGAGCTCACAGTCAAGTGCAGGGAGACACAAACAACAAACCAAACAACTAAATTACAGAGCATGCTAGAAGGTAAACTACAGAGAAAAATAAAGCAGGAAAGGGGAATGGAGAACATCAATGTCTGGAAAGTGGGGATTGTAGTTTTAGAGTGTGGGCAAGGAAGGCTTAACTGAGCAGATACTTGAGCAAAGACATGAGGATATCTACGGTAATAGACTGTTGTTTTAAAATAGACGATGAGGAAATGATAAACACCACGTTTTCCCTTACATGTGTAATCTAAAACAATTAAACTCACAGAAGCAGAGAGTAGAATGGTGGTTACCAGAGGCAGGGAGATGAGAACAATGGGAGATGATTGTTAAAGGGTACAAAGCCTCAATGAGATAAGAGGAGTAGGTTTGATTTTTGAGATCAATAGGACAGCATGCTGAGTATAGCTAATAATTGAATATAGCATACTCTAATACACTAAAAGAAGAAATTTCTGATGTTCTCATCACAATGTTAAATATTTGAGATGATAGGTACGTTAATTAGCTTAATTTAATCATTCCACATTGAATTAAAAAGTCCTAACACCACTTAGTACTCCACAAAAATATACAACTATAATTTGTCAATATACAATAAAATAATAGACAGGCGGGCAAGGACTGAGTCATTAAGACTAATGTAATAATCCAGGTGAAAATACAATAGTTACTTCAACCAAAGTGATAATATTGGAGATGATGAGAAACAGATTTTGGAGACACTCTGAGGAAAAACCAAGATTTGCTGATTGGCTAGATTGTATGTATGAAAGTAAGAGGAGTCAATTTTTTGGTCAAGCAATTGGAAGAATGAAGTTGGCATTTACTGAAATGGAAAAGACTATAGAGTAAGAGTTGTGTTTGGACATATCGTTTTAAATGCATAGTAGACACCACGAAGAGATGCTGAAAAATCAAGTTAGATATATAAGTCTGAAATTCAAAGGAGAGGTCTGAGCTGGAAATATAAATCTATAAATTTGTATCATATACATGGTATTTAAAACTATGAGACTGGAAAGAAAAGAACACCACCAGAGTGAGGGAGTCTAAGGGAAAGAATTAAAGAGGTTAAGGACCATGCCCTGGGGCATTGCTCCACTGAAATCAGGGACATGAGGAAGGCAATAGAAACGGCCAGTTTGAGAAGAGGAAAACAGAGCGGCCAAGTAGAAAACAGAACAAAAAATTCAGTAAGAAAAAATAATCAATTGTCCCAAATGTTGCTAAGTAACCCAAAATCAAAGCTAAGAATTAAATTTGGCAAAAATATAGAGATCATTGGCAACCTTGATTATAGTTGTTTTGGTGAGTGATAAAGGCAAAAATCTGACCAAAGTAGATTTAAGAGAATACAAAGATGGCAAGTTTAGATAATGCTTCAGATGCCTTCTATCCACAGAGAATTAGAACCATATAAATTTAGAAAATAATCTAATTCGAGAAACTTATTGGTTATTAAACTGTTTTTGGAATGAAAAACTCAAAACATTAGTGAAATCTTATGTGTAAATCCATTAGTGAAATTCTTTGCAGAATAGTTCTAAGCATATTAGCAATTTATATCATGTTCTGACTCAGTTTTAGAAAGATTCTTCGGTGCTAACACATAGTGGTCATTTCCCACCCTAAGTCAAAGTTCATGTTATTAGAGAAGAAATTCAGAAGCATAGGACACTGGAGAGGAAGCAGGAGACTGGGACAAAAAGGTAGGTCTAAAGAGGATATGTCACTTGTGGGTGTGGAGGCTAGTGGGAAGAGGAGGGCAGGGGATGAGATGGCCTTTTTGGCTCAACAGTATTATAGGCCCCTAGAAGTGAAGAAAAAAGAGCCCCCATAGGTAAAAAGACCAAAAAATGTTTAAAATATTTTTATTCATTTCTTAAATATATAAGATACTTACCTTACTTGAACCTCCACTTCCTATCTGCTTTAATATGGAATAAATTCTTCCTTTAACTGAAATGCATTCATTTTTTGATGAGGATGCTGAAATCTAAATAATTAAAATACATAAGTAAAGGTTCAAAGAATATGCCTAAGAAACTAGCTTATATTTGGTATAGTGAACTGCTTCCAATTTTGAAATTATCTTAAATCTTAAGTAATTACATACATTACAGTATTTTAAAAAGGAAACTTGCTCTACATACTTTGATCAAAGACATAAACTTTTTATCAATTTTCATGCTTCCTTTCTAATCTTTTTCCTTATACCTCTTTACTTACGTACATATATATACATTTGCAGACAATTATATCTATATTCTTTTTTCTAATTTAGCATTATATTATAAAGGAAGCAATGCGCCAAGGTGCTAAGAGCTCCAAAGTCAATCAGATAAATGCAAGCTTCAGCAATTCCCCTCTTTGTGCTGAGTGATGTTCAACAAGTTATTTAATTTCTCTGAACTTTAGCATCTTTCCTAGCAAACTTTCAACTGATGTACTATACAACTTGCACCTTCATCTCTTCCTTTATGCTAGAGGATCTATGTACCTATAAACGCTTTGAACAGATGGAGTGCTGAGAGGACTTATTCTGAGCTGATAAAGAAGTTAAAACAAAAAGAGCACCTGATTAGCTGATTAACCAAGTTGAAACAAGGTCTGAATAAACCTCAATTTAATTAAGTCCTGTTTTAGATTCCAAATGGTGGAATCTTTCATGTAATCTCCTATTTAAATAAAAAGATACAGATTCTAATTTCTTTAACTCCTAGGGTTGGGAGACACTGTTGAGTCATGAAATGTGTTTCCTATAAGAAAGTATTAGGCTTTGAAATACGCACCTTTTGTAATTTCATCAAGGTCCCCCCACCTTTCGTGCCTCCTCTCTCTATTCTTTTGTACTTACACTGTGAACATTCTGAGGGAAGAAAGCAGTTTAATGTCCTTTTTCCCTGACAGTTTTTAGAATAAAATAATTCTAACTTATTTCTGATTCAACACCAATGTAAGGTTCAGTTTCCTACACAGGACACCTTATATCTCCCTTAGTCTACCTTTCTCACTGTGGCAGAGTTTTCAAAATGCAAATCAGATAATTTCACATCCCTGCTTCAAACTTGTCCACAGCTTCCTATCCCTCTTAGGGTAAAATTTAAGGGCCCAGCAGAACCCTGGAGTTCACCCCTTCCCCTTCCTGAGCTCTAGCCACATTGTGGCCTCTTTTCAGTTCCCTCCAATACTGGCCTCTCCTAGAAGCCTCCCCCAAACCCCTTCACTTGTCATTTCTGACTTGCTTCTAGATTTCGACTCAAACAGGGCCTGATGTTAGCAATAGCTCAATAAATGTATTTTGAATCAATGTATGGGCAAACTTGATCATCTTTCTCTTTTTCCTTTGTAGTTTATTATATATTGTTTCAATCCTCAAAACATTATCACCTCTTTCCATAGTTAGTATGATCCATTGTCAGCTAATTATTTTGTCCATTATTCTTTTAAATTGTGGCAAAATATATATAACATAAAATTTACCATTTTAACCATTTTTAAGTACTAACCAGTGGCAATTAAGTCCCTTCACGTTGTTATGCAAACATCATCACTATCCATCGATCTCCAGAAGTTTTTAATCCTCGCATTACTGAAACTCTGTACCCATTAAACAATACCTCCCCATTCCTTCCTCCCCCAGCTCCTGATAACCACCGTTCTACTTTCTATCAACTTATTTTTTTTTAATCAATTGACTTTTGTACTTACTCTTCTTGCTGTTTTATTTAAATAAAAATTGCTAACATACATTTATTATTTCCTGAGTACCACACTCTGTTTTAACTAATTTAATCTTCACAACCATCCTATGAGGTAGGTAGCCTTATTAATTTTATAGGTGATGAAACAGGTACAGAGAATTTAAGTAACTTGCAAAGGATCACAGAGCTGGTAAGTATTGAGGCCAAAATTTATGCCCAGGCAGTCTGTCTTCAAGGCCCATGTTTTCTACCACTATTAAGCTGCCTCTGAGATAGTTATTAGAAACTAATTTTAGTTATTAGTGTGAAGACTATCTAATTTTTTTCAGATGGCAATGCAATTGCTTCACCAGCAAAAAATTTTTCTCTTAGTTTATAATAATTATAATATATTCTAGTAGTACCTCCTATCTCTATTCTGATATTCTTCAAAATTATTTTTTCCAAATGAACTGTATATTAATCAACAAACAAAATGAAGCTGCTCACTAACAACTTAAATAGTTAAATAGAATAAAAAGCAACTGATTATAAGAGAAATTTTATTCAGCTATTCAAACTGGGTCCTTTGGTCTAGTTAATAAGAGCAGCTTCATTACGTTCTTCAATAATTAACTTCTCAGTCACAAGGCATATACTTATTAGGATATAAGAAAAATTTTGCCTAATGGGAATACAAGTGGACAAAGGTCTTAAGACCTTTCCCAACATCTAAATGCCGTAAAAATATAATCTATGAAACTGATTATACCTTAATATATACCATCATATATAGAGCTTATCGAACCTGTAAATTTTGAAGTGGAGTAGCAGGTATTTGCTGTTGTTGCTGCTGGAAATAGGCAAGTTGGCTATAAGGTGTTGACAACTGACAAGCAGGTGGAAAGTCATTCTTTACAACTGGAGTTCTAAAACTAGGAAAGGTTTCATTTAAAACATTAAAATTTTAAAAACAAGATTTTGATTCAGTTTTCATGTGTTTTAGAAGGTTGATATAAATTTAAAGGTGTTACATCAAACAGAACCCAAGTTAGTTTTCATAACATAGCTAATATTTATTTATTCTAGATACTCAACCACCAGATATTTTACTTTGGGAATTCTTTCCAAAAGTAATATTTTGTACCCAAACAAGAAATACTTGTTAGTAAAATAAATGCGATGGCATTTAAAATGCGGAGTTAGGATTATTTTATAAGAATTTAGACAAGGCAAAGATCAGCTTATGGCCGATCATAAATTTTTTGAGTGTTTTTTAACAATAATGTTCTCTAATGGCCTACTAGAACTATCTGAAAGCCATTTACATCAGAGTTTGGCATTTGAGCTTAAATCTGCTCAGTACACATTCATGCTTTGTTTGCCTTGTTTGCTACTATGTCCTCAACACCTGGAACAGTGGTTGGCACAAAAGCGTTCTACAAATATTTGTTAACAATAAATAATATCACAAGAAATATCTACATCACTATTTTAGTTAGCAATCATTCTTTAAAATATTCTATATGTAATAAAATGAAGCAATATCTAGTAAAATTGTATTAAATAGGTAAGAGGCTGGGTTATAAAATCTCTAAGACAAGCTTTAATTAAAAACAAAGATTATATTATGCCAATGAAAAGCAAAAGGCACCATGGACTTAAGCTATCCCCTAAGATATTAAAAACATAGCCACTAATTGAAGGTTACACGTAACACATCCCTTTATTTCCTTTCTTTGAAATGTCATTCATTTGCTTTTGCAATATCTCTTGTGTTCCCTGTTAATCAACACTTACCATTCAATTTATTTATTTATCCCTCATTCCTAACCACTCAAGTCTTACACCTTTGAACACACCCAGAGCTGTGTGAACTATTCAACTCACCTCTTCCAGAAACTATCACATTCCAATTAATGCCTCTTAAGTTAAAAAATTTATCTACCCTTTATCCACTCTAAGAATGCTAACCTTTAAAATATCTCTCTCAGTTAGGTATCCAAGTGGCAATGCAAGTTTTGCATCCTTAGAACCTTTATAGGTTCTAGGTACAGATTACAATATGACAAAGACTACATTCACAGCAATCCTTAAAAATACATATTATTGTAACCACTTTCCCCTTCCCATTTTATAGATGAAAAAATTGATGCTGAGAAAAATAATATGAATTTGGAAAAGTCTTTAAAGTAACAGAGCAGGATTCAACCCCAGAACTATTTGGCCCAGAAGTCCATGTCGATTCTATTGTATCATCCTGCCTTCCAAGCTAAATGCCAAAAGTAATTACCAGCTCATGTAATCATCCAAATCATTGCTGCTTGGTGTCTTACAAATAGATTTTGGATCAAACCATTTATGTGCCGACATTGGTGGTGACTGCTTTGAAACTGAAAAAACAGGTTGCTCAAAAGTGGCAGGCTTCTGCTAAAACAAAATAAAAAATACTATGATTTAGAGTTCTTAAATTAGTCACCTGTTCAAGAGTTTTACAAACATTATAACTTTTAAAAGAAAATAATACACTATGAAATACAAAAGCATTCTAAAACAGGTAGGTTTATGTATTTCAGACTTTCAATAACTTTTTAGAATAGTTCTTTTATTCCCAACTGTTAAGCCTGGTACATTCTGCTCAAACTAATTACAAGTAGAGTGAAGGCACACAAAATTGTTTAACAAAAGGGAATCTAACATCCCTGCACCACCAATCAGAGCTATTTTAACAGGTATTAATCTTTTATAATCTAAAATAGTATTCTGTGCTTCTGAAAATTAGCCTTTCTATAGTCAACAAAACTACATCCCTCCCCCTCCCCAAATGTAGCCAAAGACTAATTATTTAGCAGGATTTGGAATGGCAAATGCCTATCTTGTGTTCTTCCTTAGAAGAGACGTAGACTCTGTAGAAGTGATCTTGTACAAATCCCAAACAATGATAAATGACATCCTCTACAGCAGGATCAGCTAATTATAGTCTGCAGGCTCAGGCTGAAACTGGCCTGTCGTCTACTTTTTAAACAAAGTTTTACTGGAACATGGCTGTGCCAATTTACTTATCTATTGTCTATGGTTTTTGTTTTCATGCTCTAATGGCTTAATTGAAAAGTTGCAACAGAGACCATCTAGCCTACAAAGTCTACTAACCCTTTACAGAAAGTTTGTTAACCCCTGCTGTACTACCTCTCAATCAAACAGAGAGCCACATTTTGCTTGAATACTTGTAGTAACTGAGCACTCATTACTGTCTACAAAGGTGCACTTCAATTTTGGGACAGCTTTAGTTATTAGAAAGTATTGCAGATATTTAGATTAAATCAGTTTCTCTATTATAATTGCAACACATTGGTCCTCATTATGCTCTTGAGAACCATAATGGATAAATCTATTCTACTTTCTACATTTCAATCTTTTAAGTTTCTTTTTTTCCCTAAGTGTACTAGTCAATGATTTTTAGTATATTCACAGTTGTGCAATCATCACCACTATTGAATTTTAGAATATTTTCATCTCCTAAAAGAAACCCCATACCCACTAGTGGTCACTCCCCATTTCCCACTGCTCCCAGTCTCTGGAAACCACTAATCTACTTTCCATCTCTATGGGATTTACCTATTCTAAACACTATATTTAAATGAGATCATATAATATATGATCGTTTATGATGAGCTTCTTCCACTTAGCATATTTTTAATGTTCATACATGTTGTAGTATGTCCCAGTACCTCATTACTTTTTATATTGTTGAATGATATCCCATTGTATGGATGTACCACACTTTGTTTATTCATTCATCCATGTGATGGATATTTTATTACTTTCATTTTTTTGGCAAGTATGAAAATGCTGGTATGAATATTCATGTACAAATATTTGTGGGGATATATGTTTTCAATTCTCTTGACTATAAAGCTGAGAGTGGAA